CTCCCTCCCTCCCTCGCTGACAACTGGGTACCCCACTTTGACAGTTCCTAGTCTCAAGCTGAGAGGTGTGTTGATGTCCGGAGGAGTCATCTGGGCTGTGGTTTCTGTTTTATCAAGGGAATAACAAAACAGATAGAACCCCAAGGACAAAATATGTGCAGCTGCAGGATAAAGATAAAAACCCACTAGCCACAAACTTCTTTCTCAAGTTTAGATTCGAGCAGCATGTGGGTCTGCAGGCGGAAGGGGGCAATGAGAAGGCGTGGAGGAAAGGGCACCGGCTCTTAAATCCAGGAGCACCTTGACAGTGAGCACAATGCCAGGACACCAGCAGAGCGGTGTTGGTCCAAGTTCAGCTACTTTATAATTAAAACACGTGCACATCTTGTGTTACGCACCTCTAGGGTTAAGGAGGGGACAGCCAACCAACAAGTTGGAGAGTGACAAATACCGCGCAGTGCCTTTAGACACCAGACCTGCTGAATTGTTACCCAAGCTGACCTCCCCCTCCCCACTCGCCATCTGTTCCCCAGCCCCTTCAGACTCCGCCTCTCCCCCTTCGTGGCCTTCAGCTTCCTTCCTATTTTTATCATCTCACCCATTCCACCCGGTCCCAACTACCTGACCGGCAGGCTTTATTGTCCTATCTAGGAAACAGCAAAGCACGTCTCTGGGTATCAGTCTCCACCTCTGGAAAATGGGTATGAGAGCATTGGAAGAAAGTCTCCTGACTCCTGGTTCATTCGTGCCAAGGGATCCTAGGCTGAAAGGAGGGACTTGTCTTCTTATGTAATACATTATATAATGCGAGATTACATATCTATAAGTGTAATTATATCTCTCCTTAAGATACAGACTGGCCCAATTAAGCCAGCAGAACTCTTAGTCCAGTCAGGCCTACCTTAAATGAGGATCCTGTCCTGGAGAGAGCATGCCAAAAGCAATACTCTTCTTGCCCTAGAATATTGCTGTTTTACTGTATCATTGCCGATGTATGATGATACAACCCACTCAGCAAGCTTCTGAACTTCCCCTCTCCCTCTGGCACTCTCTCCTTCGATGACTCTAGACTTTTCCTCACAATTGCCTCATCCCCGTTCAACTAACCTCCACAAACTAACGCCACCCTGACGGGAGTTATTACAAACCCCAATGCACTCCTCTCCCGCAATAACCCGTCATCGAAATGTGCTCCTCCCACCCCTGTCCCATGATCGCTGTCCCCCTCTCTGAAACAGCCTCCTGCCCAATGCTCTACCAGCTGTTTGTACCTGGTCCAGGCCAAAACCCAAGGTGTGTTCACATTAGTTACAAACCTCGTGCTCTCCCATTCCCACCCCCACACCCCTACACACACTCTTTGCAGAGCTCAGAAAGGCCCCCTCTCCCTCCCACAGCTGATAGGAGGCTTGTTCATCTGTGGCTGCCCTAGTCTGGTTGTCAAGGAAACGACAGAATCTCCCTGGGAGCCTGGCTTGTCTCCTAGCAACCAATATCCCACATCCTGCATCTCACAAAACGCAAAAGGGAGGAAAATCCTGAAAATGAATGTAAAAATCACGGGAGATAAAGATAGGAAGGGAGAATTGGGAGGAGAAGAACAGAGAGTGCACTCTGAATGAAAGGAAGCTCCCTCGCGGGTCGCTGACATTGTAACCAGTCCCGCACATATCCAACGGAAAGCAAGGCCCGAAGGGATCCTGAATGGTCATATTAACAAAAAATACGAGCCGAAACACAGGATACGCCTTCTCCAACCTAGAATGTGGAAGCATTCACAAACACCCTAAGGATTCCCCCAGGAGTTTGACAGAACTCAGCTGCAGACTGCAGTGGAGTTGAGTTCAAAGGAACATCCCCAGAACCGCGAGCAAAACACCCAAATTTCCCTGGTTTTTTTTTTTTTTTTTTTTGCTTTTTTAAAACGGAAACACTTCCACCACTCTGAACCTTTTTTTTCCTGGCACGCTGCTCTGCACACACACGAAACAGAAATATAAAATAACAGGGAAGGGGGAGGGGCATGACACGCCAAGGCAATCCAAGTCATCTTCCTTTTCCCTAGAAAAAAACCGGAAAAGGTGAGTCCCACGCCCCTCCGAACCAGCAGCCGAAGCAATCGCCGAGGGAAGACAAGGACCCCAGGGAAAGTTAGGAGGGGCCCGGCCAGGGCCGGGGAGGGCGCAGGGGGCGGCAGGAGGGGCGTAGCGGCGCGCTTGCAGGGGCTGCTGGCAACCCCGGCCGTTAAGAGAAATGAATCATTTACTTACACCACTACATGTGACGGAGTGGTTTCTAGTGTAAGGAACACATCTCCTCCTGCTAAGCACGCTCATTTTAGGGAAATGTCTGGGGCCACTCCGCGCGGGCAAGTTGGGGCGACGCGGGCGCCGCCGCGCTGACGCTGGGCTGCAGCCT